AAAGGTCGCACATCTGCGGCGCGAGGGAGAGCGCGGGCAGGGAGCGCGGGCTCTGCACCGCTCCGGCGCGCTCGGGCAAGCGCGCGGAGGTGCGCGGTGGGCACAGCCGCTTCCACCAGCGCGCTCTACAAGTTTCCGGTCCATACCTCCCACTGCTACTTTATTTACTGCAGCTGGCCAGCCTTTTATAGCCTGTTTCATGTATTAAAATTCAAATGTGGAAAACATTACCAGTATCCTCCTTGATTTTTTTTTTTTTTTTTTTTTTTTTTGGAATTTTTTCCCCCCTTCAACTTCCTTTTCAGCGTGGAATGTATCAAATGGTCAAAGGCTAACTTCAGACTGACTCTACTCAAAAACTATTTCCTTTGTTCTTATGTTTTTACTTCAAAATTCATACCAGTTTTCCAAAAGAAATTATCGGGCCCGACTCCTTCACCCAAGTTACGGTTTCAGACAGTGAGTAATGCTGCTTGGGAACGCGGCAGACTCCGGGTTTTCAGAGAAATGTCCCCGTCTTGTTTGCAGCAGCAGCAGCGCTGCTCCCAAAGCATCCGAGTTCTCCTGCTCGGTTCCCTTGCTCTGACCATCTACTTCTTTAGCAAAGTCCAAACAAAACCGGTCAGACCCCATCACTCGGCGTTTCTCCTGAAAAAACAAGTGCCTTCATATTCCTAAAACTATTAAGGCATTTTTTAGATGCGTGATACCGGCACTTCCATTTCTCATTGTTGCTGCTTTTTTTGTTTAAATCTAACTTCACCTACATCTGGTATTTAAGCGAGGAGCACATATTTATGGAACAAACTGTCTCTGAAGTGATGCCCTGGGTGCATGTTGCATCAGTTTAACATATGCAAAGCGAACAAAGCTACAAAAATTAAACTCTTTTCTCTTGATTGAGAGCAGATATGCAGAAACAGTTGTAAGTCACAGATCTGGCTTTTAATAAAGCCAGATTTCTTCATTAAAAGCAGTATTGTTTAAACACTGGAGGAAAAAATAGCTTTGTACAAACTAAAATCTTAGATTATATGTATCCCAAGTGTATTTAACATATTACCTGAGGCCAAGCTAAATTACAATCTAGAATTTCCTTTTGTGAATTCTCAGCAACTGCCACAGAGAGCAAAACAATGTCTGGTTCATGCTAATTTTATTAGGGAAGGGGAGAGGAGATGGATTTAACTGAGCTGCTGAAAAAGCATCTTTTTACCTCTCGGAGCCTTTTGCCAGACCATTTCCAGTTAACACTTCACATTTTTTTGAATCTACAAATGGCGCAGTCTCAGTTGTGGCTTTTAATGATATTTTACCCACGACAGAGTCACTTCTAGTAACATTTAATTTAACGAGGAGCAGAGCCTGTCACAAAGCTGCCCCGATAAAAAAATAAACACCCCCCCCTTATTTTCCTTCCTCAGGTGCTTCGTTTCAACAACCGATGTTACATTTCAATAACCTGAAGCAACAGAAACTATGGGCAAATATTTAGCTTAGGGCATTGTAGGTGGACAAGTCTGAAGGGGAGAACTGTTTGGTCAAGGATAGCTGGGTAAGGATACCTGAAAAGCAAACTTCTTCTTGCAGGGGGGAAGCAGGAGACAGCTGGGATATTTTAATTTCCGTATGAGATGGCAGACCTCAGTTGTGAAGGCTCTGGATGGTGGTCAGCACTCAAGCTTAGACTCAAAACCTTGCCCTTGGCCGGAGATGGAGCGTGCCGAGGGCTGTGGAGCCATCCCCAATGTGGGACGGAGCGCGGCCGAAAGCCCTCTGCTCTGCTTGGCTCGGCCCCGCTGGCTGGAGCAACGCCAGCCAGGCTGGAGGAGCCGCCTGAGAACTTCCCCCAGCGTCGCACGAGGCTCGGGAACGGCCCTGCTGAATAAAGCCGTGCTCTCAATACCGCTGGAGGCTAATTATTTTATAATCACCTAACCGACTATCACGACAGAGCCTAGCGCGGGGGCATCCCCGGCGCGCAGCAGACCAGGGGACACGGTAATTATCAAATAATTGGCCACCAGAAGAAGCTCCTTCCTTTCCCTAGCAGTTGCCTCACACTCGGGCATCAAAGTTTTTCTTTCTTTCTTTTTTTTTTTTTTCCCTTCCCTTGTGAAAAAAAGGAGGAATCCTGTCTGAATCCTGTCAAATAAAACTCTAAATGTTTGCATTTTCCATATGATGTCTAATCCTATTTGGAATGCTTCTGAACATTTGGCCTTGATTACATCTTAGAGCAATGAATTTCACAGGTCATTGTGTGTTGAATAAAAAGTATTTCTTTTTGTCAGGTTCACTGAATGTTCCCTTGTTCTTTAATTATAAGGCAGGATGAATAGGAGAGCTAGATTTACCTTCTCTATGCTGTCCATTATTCTATGTACCTCTATTATGTCTCCTCTTATTCAGCTCCTTTCTAAACAAAATCACCACAATCTGTTCAACCTCCCTTCACATGAAAATAT